TTTTTTTTTCTTCTGGCAATAGAAAGCTAAACCACTGGGTAGTATCTGACACTGATGGCAATAGTCTATAGGTCTCCGTACTCATTTGCTTTAATTTCTATATCTAATCTTAAACTATTTTTATATTGGTGCTAATCCTCATAATATCTGAGTGCAATCGTCAAAGTTAGCTTGAGTTGTACCCCAGACCACTACCTACATTATAGGAGAAACTCATGACAAATGTTTTTCTTAACTCAGTTCTTGCCCCTAAAAGCAAATGTGTTTTACCTTAGCACTTTGGCATTAGAAAGTTAATTTCCCTCCTCCAGATGCCTTTCCTTTGCAATCCCAATGTTTTTGACAGTGTCACAGACAGTTTGTTACAGTCCTTTCTTGAAGGCACATTTCTTTCCCGCTACCTTGCATTTTTGTTAGTGGAGCCACTGGTCATTCTCAGGGAGATTCCAGTGATATCATAGCTAATAGCTACTTGGAATACTTTATAACACACTGGATGCATCTACGTGTGCCGCTATGGTGCTGTTGTTACTGCGCCGTCATTTAGTACTTCCTTTTGGAAGTACTAAAAGATGGTGCAGTAACAGCTGGTACTGCACCGTGTGTACCACACAGGGTTATTTTTAGGCACTACATTACCATAATGATGTGCTATAATGAAGGATTGCATCACTACAGTGACCTAGCTGTGGCGTCACCAGTTTTTCCCTCAGATGCTACATCACCGTAGTGCATTTCTACAGTGACATAGCATTGCATATGGACGCACCCTTTGTTAGACAGGTAATGCTATTTTATCCCTTCGACATGTGGAAACTGAGGGTGAGAGAGATTAACCCAATCTAAACTATGCTGTTTACAGGCAATCGTGTAACTTTGATTCTACCTCGAGCTTTTTGAATACCGGTATCTAGCTTAAGTGATTTTCCTATTCCTAAATTGAAGAAAAATTATATTGGCTTGCAGAAATCAAGGATGAATTTTGATTCTGAAATATTGAATTTAGAATGTTTATTATTGATCACCACCTTCTTCTAAAAGCATGCTGATGCAGGTCAGCCACAACCGTAATAGTCATTTATGAAAGATTTAAAACTTGCATTTTATTATAAATACAAGTGAACAGAATAAACAAAGCTGTAGACCTAAAGTTTGACATATCATGAATTATACTAAAAAAGTAATAGTAGCTGACATTATTTTTGCCCTTTGTTGTCTGTTATGTAAACACTCCATTCAGTGAACTTTGTCATTATATGTGATCCTGTACTGTACCTGAGGTCACATGCTTTCTTAGAAGAAATAAAAATAGGTAAGGTTTGCTGAAAGTTACAGAATTTTTACATTCATTCAGAACTCATTCTGAGTTTTTGCTTTGTTAGATGATTGCAATGGTGCATCCTTTCTTATTTCTTAAGGGTTAGCCTTACATCTGATACAAACTGCCAAGTGTTCCAAGCTCAGTCTGACAGAAAAAGAATACTTCTTATATAGCCTCAAGATTTCAAAAGACCATACAAAGGAACTATATCATAACACCTTTTTTATGGAAGTGAACAATTTGTCTTTTGTATATCTATCTATGAAGATATCTTCAACTTCCACCAAGAATCATTTTTAGTGATGCACATGACATGATTGCTTTGATTCCTCCTTGTCTCTGTAAATCTTCTTTATTTAGGAAATAATTCCTATAGTCTTGTTCACTAGGAACACCCCTATATACTGGTCCTACAATTCTTACTTAAGTAAATTGCTCAGTGGTGTTAAAGCACAGATACACTTGGGTAAAGACTATTAAACTCTGTATTAAAATCTTTAGAAACAAAAATCTCCATCCAAGGATGCCAAATATTATGCACAAAATGGAATAAATTCAGTGGACATAAAATACCATTGTTTTGTTTTTGTGACACTGGGATTTCTTTACAGTCTTTGTTATAATCCAGTTCTGGCTGGGCAGAGATGCATGGACCTGCTGTTTGCTCACATAGGTCTTTATGTATATCCAGTTTCTGATCAGGTATAAGAAAGCTTTTCCTTCATGTAACTTAGCTGCAAGGTCAAAAAGACCAGGGACAACAAAACAAAAGGAAAGAAAAGAATCCCCAGATTTCTTTCCAGTTTGTTTTAAATCTAGAACTTAAAAAGCACATTTTACTGCAGGGACCTACTAAACCTAGGTTTTCCTTCATGCCTGCTGATGTGTTCAGTTCAAAATCCAGTGCTGGCATTTTGAAAGAACCATATCTGTTCCCTCACCATTACACCCATCTTATCCAAAAATTGCAACTATTTTCCTCTGTACTTTGGCCTCAGCCAAGCTACTCACTCCTTGACCTTTGCTCTGTACTGAAAATTGATTTTACATTGGCTCAACATATATGAATTGTGTTAACCTGTGGCACTTTTGCAACTTGTTTAAATCAGAAGTTTGGGGGCAGGAGTCAGAAGCCAAACGAGAAACCAGCCTAGTGGTGGATTTATACTGAGGAGACAAATGGCATTAAAGGGAGCTGCACTAGTTTAGTCCCTTCTTCTGTTTGACAGTTATCTACAAACAGCCTTGCATGCTCTTTATTCAAACTTATTGAACAAATATTCTATATGAACAAAGTTCACCATGTGCACTGTTAGCAAGTGACTTGCTATGACTACTGCTCTGAGCGTTTTTTTTTTCTTCCTATCTTAATTCACTGTAGTCTAAATACAGGCCAAGACTGGCACTAAACAAATGCTGGTGGGCTGGGAATGAAAGAATCTCATGCCATAATGTGGCTGTGTAACTGCTCTGCAGATATTATCTCAGCCCAATAGAAATAGGGCTATACAAGGATATGGGTAAATCTGCAGAGCAGCACGTTGTATACCCTCTACCAGTCAACTTTATATCCAGGCTTGTGATTTGAATGCAGTAGGACTCCCAGATGTACTAAACCTCTAAAATGCTGCCACGGTTGCTCTGAAGCCTGTTCTTCCCTCTCACACAGTGGAGCTACTCCTGTTCCTATCAGCAAAGGAACATCTGCAATGATGGAAGTGGACATTCAGGTTTAATTGTATTTGCAGTGCCTAATCAATCGCCAAGTCACATAGTGTTATTCTATAACATGAATTGGATGACTCAAAAAAGTCAGGGGGATTGAGTAAGTCACTTCTGGTGAAAACATTTGCATGAATATGTCTGATTATTCATGAGGCTTTTGCTTTCTGTGGAAAAAATAACGGTATATAAAGCATGAAGACAGTGTATCAAAGTATTTGCAGGTCCTTTTTTTCCCCCATCATTTACCTGGTACTGAATGGCATCCTATCATCCTAGCAAGAGAATGGCTTAAACCATAGTGCCATAGAAATCACCCCTGAAATATCTATTGAAAATCTGGATCAAGAGTCATTTTTAATTCTAACACATTTGGATACAGCCTCTTGAAGTATAGCATGCCAAATTCTTATCTAATTATTACCAAAATAAAATCTGAGGGACTCTGATTTTGCAGTAGAATACCTCCAGATTTACACCAAGTGGATTAGAGTGAAAAATAATTCTGCACATTTTGCTTTCTTTAAACTTTATGGAAATTACTTGACAGCAAAGTTACTTTTTTTGTGAAGTGACTCTCTTCTTCATGACTCATTAACCCCTATTTGGACATTTACTTTGCATAAGAGCAAGGTTTCATTAAGAACAAATCAGTGTGTAAGAGTGAATAATTAAGGACCTTTGGGTAAAACTGGTATCGTTTATTAGACCAACTCAAATAGTTGGAAAAATTCTTCTTTGCAAGCTTTCAGGTATAAATACCCTTCATCAGGCTGAGGAAGCATCTGCAGTTGGTGTGTGCTCTTCCTGGGTGGAATGAATATAGTAAAGAAGCCAGCTAGTAAAAAAAACCACATGGCTACAACCTATACCCCTGTAATAATTGAGGATGACTTTTCTGATGGGTCATCCTGTTCTCATTCAGTCCTGGGGTGATAGATTTTCCTGTTGTGCGCTTGTCAACAGAACTGTAATGAAGTCAGTTAAATTAAAATAATTACAACCTATTTTTAACATTTAAGTATCTGATATTAAAAGGGACAATAAAGTATGGTAATTGTCTCCATTTTCATGTATATAATGCAGATTTGGGTGAACCGATGCAGATATGTTGGATGATATTTATTGGAAAATATCAAACTTTCATAGATTCATAGGTTGTTAGGGGCTGGAAGGGACCTTTTAGATCATCGGGTCCCTCTGCACTAGGCAAGAAAAGACAACTGGGGTCGAGTGACTCCAGCGAGGTGACTGTCCAGTCTCCTTTTGAAGATTTCTTGGGTAGGTGACTGCACCACCACTGGAGGGAGCTTATTCCACAGTTTAAACACCCTAACTGTGGAGGAGTTTTTCCTGGAATTGAGCCTGAAGCGGCCTTTCAGGCATTTGTATCCATTCAGACTCATATTATGAAAAGAAGGGATTTCTTTAGCCTCACAAAAAATTACAATTTTTAATAAAATTTGCAGGCAGTGTCACCGAGCACAAATAATTTGTCCTGTGTTTACAGATGTATATGAATTTACAGCTCTCTCTCCAGCTCTTTCTCATATATATGAAATTGACTTTACAGATATGTTTTGGATGACAGTCTAGTTGTCTGTACTCAGGTCTATATGCTTGGAATGCCTGAGGCCTAATTCTGGTTCTGAAACTAACTATTCTTGTGAACTTGGAAAAGTCACTTTAACCTTATAGTTGTGGTACAAATGCTTACCTGTTGAAGAAGTATGTAGAAAGGGTAATCTTTCTTGATAGAAAATTTCTGCTGTAGCTAGATTACTTTCCATGTTAAAGAACTGCAGACAGCATTAAAATACAACTCTTGCTATGGTAGAATGCGTTAAGGCTTAATTGAGTAATAACCCTATGAAAGGGTTTAAGACTAGAGTTGAAGAGAAGTAACATATTCCCAAATGAAACTACAATGGAGGTGCAATATAGGAGTAATACATACCCACACTGCATGTCCGGCATCCATCTGCACAAGGTACACATTCTTCAGAGTCAGGGTCTTCCACTTCACCTGCACATTGCAGATCCCAAATTTTGAATTAATTTTAGTTAAATGAAACACCTACATCTAAGCATTCAGTTAGGACACCGAAAATAAACTAATTGATATGGCCAAGTATTAAGACAGAAAGCAGGGTAGGGAAGCACCTTATAAACTAACTAAATCAGAGATGCATAAGCTTTATAAGCCTGAGCTCACTGCATCAGATGCTGTCAACAGATATATTAAGACACAGGCTCAGCACATTTCTCCTCCTACGTACATTTGCATGACTCCATCCAATTCAAGGAAATGTCTTCTAATATATGTGAGAGGAGACTCAGACCTTGAGTAAGAGCCTTCTTATTTGGACTTTCTGGGCATATCTACACAAGACACTAACGGCACAGTATTGTGTCATGGCAAAACATGTGCTCATATGCTACTGTTCAGTAATATTAGGCTACTATGCAATTAGTGTCATTAACAAGCTGTGCACCGGTGCTACTGCACAGTAGCACCAGTCACTGTGCATTGATTTAGTGCTTGGTTATACAAGTACTAAACTTAATGTGCAGTAACTATGGTGCATTAATGAATATGTAGACCACCTTCTGTGCATTAGAAAACAAGAGCCTAATTTTCACTTGGCAGGATAGCAGCAGGGGTGTTAGTCCTGCTGTAGTGTGCTTACCTTCTCTACATTCATGTTTCTGACACTCGTTTTTATCTAGGTAGTATCCTTTGAAACATCTCTTGCAGTGAGTGGAGTCAAGGCACGCTTCACACTGCTCAGAGCAAGGTATGCAGGTGTTGTCTTCTGAATGGTAGTGTCCTGGGGGACAGCTCTCTCTGCACTCTCCAATGTACAGGAAACGTTTTATCCCTCTTTTATCTGTGCAACAGACACAACAGGAAAAATACAGCAGTAGAAAAAACATCATTCAATCCATACAAAAGTAGTGTTAACATTAAGCACTAGATCTACAGCTGATGGAAATCAGCATAGAACATAAGGGGTGCATCTACACGTTGATTAATGTGCTGTAATTATGGCACATTGAGTTTTAATACCTGTAATAACAGCTACTTAATGCACCGTAATCGGTGCTACTGTGCATTAGCGCAGATGAATGCTTTTTCAGTGACGCTTAATGCCCATTGGAGTAATCTACTGTGCATTAGTGCATTGGCATGGTTTTTGCCAGCTGCACTAATGCACAGTAGAGTTACTCCAATAGGCACTAAGCATCTCGTGTAGATGTGCCCAAGAAGTGCCATAATGGGTCAGACTAATGGTCCTTTTAGCTTAGTGTCCTGTCTCTGACAGTGGCAAGTAACAGATGCTTTTGAGAGAGAGTACGTGAATGAGGTTTGTCTAGTGTGGTTCATCCCATCCTTGGCATCAACCATCAGCTTCATGGAAGTCTATGAAATTACACCAGTTTATGCTAGCTGAGACTCCGAACCATTTTCTTAGCATTGGGAAATCAGGGCACTACAAATGTTGTAGTCCTCTCAAGTGCATACACTCAGTGAACAATTCCCAGTCCTCCAATACAGAACAAGGAGATTGCATTACTGGACTGCCAACCAGCACTTCCCTGCAAATAACTGTCTGAGACAAAAAGGGCCCTTCTTGAATTGAATCCTTTGTGTTACGGAGAGCGGAACTAGCATTGCTAATTTTAGCCCTTTGACTCAAACTTTAGGAAAGCGTTGCTCTCTCTAGAATAAGTCCAACTGGAACCCACATCCCAATTGTTTCCCATCATGGATAAAGTTTGGATTCTGATTTAGACTTTGAAGTATAAGACCGTGTCCATTTTATAATAAAGCAATGAAGATTCCTGGCCTGTCAGGATTAAATAACTGAGAGACGTTCTCAGAATGTAACCTGGGAAAGTGCACATAATCCAGGGTGCATTGCATTGCAAATTTTGGAAGTTGTTTTAAAAGACACCCTACAGTACAAAATAAGTTTGTGATTATGCTAACTGTATAATGTTACTCTTTCTCTGCTATAAAAAAACAGCCATTCAATCTTTTTATTTCATTTTTTATGAGTGAACTTCTATTGCTTTCTTTTCTAGCCTACTCCGGTGTATCACTATGGTATCTGTCTGTCTTGATTCCCACAGAAGTTTTGTGCTCCGGCACAGGGTAAGGACAAAAGGGGTAGTAGTAATATAAGGTGTCCTCCCTTCTGTCACCCTACAACTGACACCTTGACCAAAAGAGACTGTCAGAGGTGAAAGACTCAATCTCTTTATCCATTCAGTCTCATCCTCTAACATGGGACTTCCAATGTGGGTACTAATGAATGTTTATTGTGATAGTAGCTTTTGAAACATAGATATCTATAGCTTAAGGCTTTGCAGCATAAGATCATTACTGATGGAGCCTGAATTTGACTGTTTAAACTAAAAAGCTCCATATTTCATTACATATATTCTGAGCCAGTTTGTCAATAACTAATTTTAACTGTCAGTTATTTTTATTAAACTACCCAAGGATTTCATTAAATTATTATTTGGGAACCTTAATGGAAAATGTTTCCTACTGAAAAGAGAGGTTTGTGGGAAGACAAAAACTATTAAGCCTTTTCAGGAAAAGCACTCAGATACATTTGTCCATGCAGCAGTCTGTGACTGCCCCTGGGGAAAGCTTGCATTTCTTGCTCACTTTGGCTTGCAGTATTCATTTTGTTAGAACTGTCAAGCTTTCCCTGAATTTACAATGGTGTAAGTTTGCCAGCAGATTATAGTCATAATGGATAATTAAAAAATAACAGGTTTATAGAACTATATATATAAAATCTTGTAGCTGCGTTTTGGCCTCTTGGACCAAAGACTTTAAATACTTTTGACAATATGAAATTGTGGTTTAAGTAATACATTGTCGAAAAATAATGAGTTCAAGAAAATATTGCAACAGGGCCATGTCATCCATTACTGTCTTGTCAACAGTCGAGCAGTCTTCACTTTTGTGGCTTTTTAAGCTAAAATGCCTTGGTATCCAATAGATACTAATGTATAGTGCTATGGGGAAAACTTACTGACTACATTGCAAATTCAAAGGAAAAAGAATATCTTACACCAGGGAATCCCCTGTATTACCTGTTTCTTTGAATTTACTTTGATATTATAATATTTAATCTATTTTGGGTCAAGGATAGCATTCTCCTTAAGGTGAGTATGGGTTTTCTCTGCATCTGAACTTGACTTAATTTGGTTCATGAGGTCCAGAGATTCCTATATCACCTATAATTTATAATTTTGCAATAACTTTTGCTATTTTCTCCTTTTTAGGTCTCTGATGAGAAGGATCTTGAAACAGGCCTTTTGTCCCACCAGAGCTAAAATATATACTTGGATCTGGACTTTGGATTCAGGCTTGAACCTGCTTCTATTGCTGACTTAAATCTGAATGCAGACCTAAGTTGGACCATATTCATAACCTTGCATTGCTCACTTTCCAGCATATTCATGCATGTCTTGTAGGCACAGGATATAGATAGAATTGGAAGGCTGTTCTGCTGGTATTTGACATGTTTCCTTTGATTAAATAGTTATTAAATAGCAGTGTGTTTTTCTTATTTCAGATGATACAAGATTTACAGAGTTTTCTACATGTGCAGGTAAAGGCATGCTAGGATCTAATGAGCAATCCACACAACTGTACCTCCTGCCATGCCACATGTGTATCAGATCCTATCATGCCTTATTGCCAGTACAGGGGGAGCTTGGGATCACCATCTTGGGCTCCCCCTGCACCAGCAAGTAGCTAGCTCCTGCAGCTGCAAGTCTCATAGCCTATGGGATTCATGGCTGCAGCAGCATCCCACAGCATCCTTAATGAAGAATCCTGCAGCTGCAGGACTCTCCATCCTGGCAGCACCCACAGCTGTGGGACTGTCCATCCTAGCAGTGCCTCATAGTTGCCAGGATGGAGATTCCCACAGCTGTGGACACGGTCCCAGCAGCCATGGGACACTGGTGGAGCTAAGAATCCTGCCAGCTGTGGGACTTTCGGTCCTGGCAGTTGTGGGGCACTGCAGGGGCAGAGAGTCCCTTCGACTGCGGGACCCCCAGCCCCAGCTGCATATGGTGCACCCCATTTTTGGCACCAAGGATAGCTCAGCTGTGGGAATGAAGAGGAAGTCAAAATGTATTTAATGCTGTGGCTGTCCATGACTTGAAAAAGAGTCAGTTTTGAGAAGGACTGAGAGCAATGGGCACTACCATATTTCTTATTCAGCTGGGTCACACTAACCTGTCCTTGTGGTGGGTTCCCATTGGCATCTCAGTCTTTTGGCTAAGATTAAATCTAGCTTTTTTGACACCAAAGGGAGAGTGTCAGGACTGACTCTGGCCCTGCTGGTACCAGCCTGGTATTGCAGTACCTTCAGGCCCAGTGCCAATTCCTTGGGGAGGGAACACCTGACCATTCTTTTTTAAGGGCCAAAAAAACAGTTTCCCAGCAACATGTTTGCCTAAGATGGGTTATGTACTGTATAGTCATGCTCCATGTTGGCTACATTTAATCAACTTCATAGTCAGTTTCCATTACTGAGCACATGTTGCTTTTGACAGCAGTTTAATGATAGACCATGTTTTTAATTAGGTTTTTTTGTATGCATAAGATGAGGGGGTTTTCCACATGCCAATTGGGTGGGAAAAAACCTCACCTTGTAGTTGAGTAAATATGGTACATTATCTAGCATTAAACTGCTGCCAAAAGCAGTATGTGCTCAATAACGGAAACCATCAAGAATGGAAACCATGAACTAAGTCTATGGCTACTATATCTAAATTACTACAGCCATGTTTAATTTCAAGGTCAGTGTTTTCAAATTTGCTCCTCACTTCCATGTGCTCAGGGAGAGCAGGGTCTAACAGCAAGGAAGGGGATGGGGGTGGGGGGGAAGGGGCTGCAGGGAGAAGAAGATAGAGGACAAGAGGGTTACCTGACCTCCCAGATTTATTTTCCCCACTGTAGCAGCATGAGGGGAACAAATTCAAGGCAAACCTCCAATAATTAGATTGTATACTAAGAAAATATACAAAAAATATATAAATTTTCCATGTATAAAATCTAATTATTGGGGGGCTGTCTTATAATCAGGGCCATCTTGTATTTGAGTAAATATGGTATATCTCCAAAGATAGTCAATTTTCAAAAAACGTTAGGTAGCTTTATTGGTCACACAATAAGCAAGAACAGAATGCATCTGTAAAAACAGTGGGAACTTTATCCCTATATCTGGGCCATGAACACAATTTAGCTCTGTAAAATGTGTTGGAGGTCATTTTGCATAAAGAGCCTACTGATTTTAATGACTTCAGGACTTTGTCCTGAGAGTAAAGAGAAATTAAGAGACCTAGGTACAAGTAAAAACTAAGATGTTTTCCTTACCTGTACCACACACAGTGCATTTGTTGGGTTCACTTCCGCTACAATCCAGGCAGGTATGATGGCACAAATGGCACTGGTTTTTAAATTCGAATTTCCCTTTGGGGCATTTCAGAATGCAGAGGCCATCATCAAAAAATCTTTTGCATCATAAAAAGGTAAAACATCACAATTAGACAAGAGATCAGTATTTTTCTCTTTTAACAAAGAAACAAAAAAAGCCCTAAAAGCAAGAACCCCCCCCCTCTGTTCTCTTGCCCAGTCAGATTTATTATTTAAAGATTTTTCCAGTTTGCTCTTCATTTCTTCATGTCTTACTTATTGTATTTGCTACAAGAAAGTGGAACAGAGGCTAAGTTTTTAACTTCAACTTTATACATTAGAGAGGAGTTTAATTTTGCTTAGCAACTCACCTTCAGCCCTGATCCTGGATGTCTCCATACAACAGCTTACTGCATCTTTTCCCTTATATCCATTAATAAGAAGCCAAGAGCAAATCTGATTCACAGAAGTTACCTGTGAAAAATCCATCTGTGGAAGCTTCCTCTTTTTGCTTTACTTTAAAGGTTTGCTTTGTAGTGCATCAAGTTAGATACTCGTGCAAATTGTTGTATGAGCAGGGTCTCAGAGGCTGTTCCCTTCAGACATGACCTGATTTGTCTGCTAATGTCTGTGAGGATTATTCATTAATCCTTATCTTCCAGCCTGAGTCCCACAGTCACGGGGCCTAGTCTGGGAGATCCTTATCTCCCAGTGCCCACTCTGCAATCATGGGGCTGGTGCTGGGAGATCCTTCCAGATAAGGATCTCCCAGCCCTGGTCCCATGATCGCAGAACAGAGGGCTGGGAGTTCCCTGCTGCCAGAGCAGGGAGACATTGTCCCTGCACCCCAGCAGCAGGGAGCACCCAGGGGCAGGGAACAATCTCCTGCCCCCTGCTACCCAGCTGACCCGGAGCACATTTGCTCCTGGTCAAGGGTCTACACATATGCTACTGCACAGTTACTAATCTTGAGTAAATTTGCTACTTGCATTTGCAGATAGCAAATTTACTCAGGATTAGAGTCAAATACTGCACAGTAAGTATCTGCAAGTGAAGAAGTGAATGCTTATTGTGCAGTAATTGGCTCTACTGAGCAGTAAAGCATCTTGGGTAGACATGCCCTGTATGTGCCCATGCTCCTGACTTAAACCTGGAGATTCTTGTCTAGACAGTTTTGCCCCATGGTCAGACCAAAGGAATTTTATCTCATGGTCCAATTGGTACAGAGGTTGTGTGTGTGTGTGTGGGGGGGGGGGGGGGGGGGTGGTACTTTCCCCTGTAGTGGGAGGGTCACAGCCCTCTTTATTGGCTCTCTTGAGCATATTTTAGCAATCCTCATAGCAAGATAGTGGTCATCATAGTTCCCCTTCTTTACCTGTGGCAGGTTAGGTTGTTACATCTTTCAGTTGTACCAGGGTTGCCTGTGTAGTTTTACTAATAGGGTGGACAATGGATTTTTATAGGATGGTTTGGATAGAGATGATCCTGTCTTTGACGACGAATTGGAACAAATGACCTCTGCAGGGTCCAATTCAGATTTAGTTTTCTGTGAATTTCTGATTTTAGGAAAGTAACTTGACAGGACTCTCTTTATTCTTATGTGCAGAATCCTTAGCTGCATGTGTAGGGCTTGATTTTAAGAGATGCTGAGCACAAATCAGGATCAGGCCCTTACTTCCTTAGTACTGATTTAGGATAATTCCAACTTGTGTCTCTAAATGGGAAATACTGTTTTCCTCTGTAATAAGGTGGCAACTAGTTTCCATTATACTGCAGTCCTACTTCATCTACCCTATAACTTATAGATTGGTGTCAAATTCCAGATTCATTCTGAAGACAAAGAGAAATTTTCTGGAATTTTTTTGAAGGCAACTTGTCAAATAGTCTATCTGTAACAAGTCACCTAATGATTACCCTAACTTGCAATATTGACATTAGTTAACATAGATGTGACTGCAAAAAATAGTGCTACAAGGACAAGGACACAGACTTTATAATGTTACTTGTATCTTTGCCCCTGTTGGTTCCAAACTTCTGATAGTGTAAATTGGGACCGGGGTCCTAACAAACCAATTAAAAAAAGCATGACCTGAGTTCTGTGTTTGTAATTGGAGCAAATGCATATTTGGCATCTTCTGTTTTGAACATTTTGCATGTCTCTGCTTCTGTGGGTGATATTATCTTAGTCTCTTCTTAATCAGAGGTTCCCATTTATGTGGGTCACTGGTGCCAATACACTTCAGGTTAATTTGCAAATATTGCTCTTCTTTTCTTGTCTTCTGCTGAAAAAAGTTTGCTCCCTCACTGGCTAATGGTTCAATAGCAGTCCTTCCTAAACAATCAGTGCTGAGTTACTTCTTTGAAATCGATTAAGACACACATAAAGGATAGTGAGGAAAAGGTGGAGAAACCTCAATAGCTAGCAAGGGAGAGACTTGTACCCAGTATTCAGTATGCTATGTGTGTCGAGTCTGTAGGAGTCTACAGCAAGGGCCTTACTGGAGGGAGCGGAAGAAAGTTTAGATTGCAATTGCTGCAGTTTCTAGACCTATCTCAGCTAGGTAGCTTTAAAATATATATTCAGCTTTGTGCTGCTGCCACAGTTATGCTTCTATAACTACCCAAACTAGCTAGTTTTAAAACTTCATCAGGCAAGTCTACATCAGCTTCAATCACTGTAGTGCCTGTAGTGTAGACATGCCATTAGACTCCTGGAGAGAGAGTTGGGGGAGAGAGAGAGAGGCTGGATGTAAACTCACTGTCAGTGTAGACAGGTTGTAGGAAAGATTTTACCTGTAAGGCTAGACAAGCAGCAAGAGACTCTTTCTTGCCCTTGTCAGATTGTCCAAATGATAAAATTTGGCAGCTTGGATCCTGATCCTGAACTCCACAGATCACATAATATATAGTTTTACAGAAAAGAAGGGTTTTTTTTATTACAGAGATATATACTGTGTTTGACTGGCCAAAATCAAATTTCAGTGAGACATTAGAAGCAGATACTAGCACTTGTAGACTTTCAAACAGGAGAACAACCTGACAGAAAACGTAACATGAGACAGGCAGTGCCTATTGCCACTGTCTCACAAAGAACAAGGAATTCAGTATTCTCATTTTCACAGGATTTTTTGATAGGAAAAAAAAATCTTTTCATCCTTTGTGAAAAAGCAAAAGAATCCGACTGCATGAAATCACCTCTGCTAAAGTTTTGTCTGTTTAATGGGAGTGTCATTCATTACTGCCTTCATTCTGCACTATTTATATCCATCAAGGTTCAATAGACCCAGGAGACTGTCATGTAAATATGTCCATTTCTAATACAGTGAAAATAGCATCCATTGGATTTTCCCCCTCCAGTTTCTGCTTGGATTTTTACTTTTTCTATTATTACTTCTTTTGATATGGTCTTTTCCTAATAGTTATTTTATAGCCTAGAGAGGGGAAAAATAAGACATCCTTTGGAAGTCTTACATGCAAAAAGAAAAAAAGAAAGTGAATAGCAGATTTGTGTAATAAGACCATTGGCATTTAGCTCTCAATTTCAGTTGTAATGTACATTGCAGCATTTTGGAAGCAAAGCATTCTTGCAAATGTCCAATATGCATATTAGTGAATCTCCAAACTGGTGATGGGTAACTGTCTGACCTTTTGGCATTACACATGACTGAGGTAAATAATATGTGATGCCAAATATGAAACAGCAAATCCTCTGGTATAGATTATAGCATCTCTTCAAAAGGTCATACAAGTTAAAGAAGGAGAAGAGCTAGATCATTGCAAACCGGAAGTTAGATAATTTGTGTCATTGAGTTAAAATTAGATCACCTTGTACCTCTTTTTTATACATAATACAGGATTTCTGTTAGAATAACATAAGGTTTGTATCTTATTTATTGCACAGAAATAGAGAACTCCAGATCTGAGTCTAGAACTCTGGTGAGACAACTTGAGCTAAACTGATCCTTGGTGTAAGTAATGGAAGCCAAAAGAGTTGCATCAAAGGTGAATTAATTCTTTGTCCCTACTGGATGTGTCGTCTTATGCTGCAGATATAATCAAAGATGTATTATTTTGCAATGACATAGGATATAATAAATTATATGCTTGGGTTTGATTTCATTTGCTTTTTTTAGCATGCCAAAAATGTATAGGTCCTCATTCAGGTCTCACCCTAATGCTAATGTGGAGTAACTTTATTGTGGGACAATTCTATTGATTTCACTAAAGTGTATAGATGAAAGAAGAATCAAATTTATAATTTCCCATATGCTGTAAGAATATGGGATTTAGAGTCAGTAGTAGTGCCTTTGTGTAAATACTAGATGTGCCTCTGAGATACAGATCCAAACTTTCCTGAAATTTGAGTGGTAGTTTGGGTTTGGATTTAATTCAGGACTTTCCTTCCAAGGAAATATATGTCACTTCTGTACAACTTTAAATAGTTTATTGCAGTGGTTCCCAAACTATGACAGATAGTGCACCACCAATTTAAAATGATACAACCTTGAATACCACCAGCAAATTTTTCAGTTGAACCTTAAGTACCACCAGCAATTTTTGTCATATAAAGTAATTATAATAAATCTGTTAACGTGTATCACTGACAGGTTGTCTGCATACCACTGGTGGTATATGTACCACAGATTGGGAATTGCTGGTTTATTGTGTCCTTGTTAGACCATTGCTCTTTCCATGCTCATTTACACCATGCTAGGGTACTGGGCAGAACAACATTGTGCAGAGAAAATAGATTCAAAACTGGGGTTTTGTGGACAAATGTGGGGGCAAGCTGGAAATTTACTCTTGATGTCAGACTGCAAGTAAGCAGTATCAGCTTACATTCTTTGCCCCAAGTTCCATTAGCACAAATCTCTTCCATTGAATCTTCCACAGGTCCCATCTCTGTTGGTCTTCCAGCTAACACTTATGGCTTGCTTGTGTGCCAGTTAAAGATAGATGGATTTATTTATTTATTTAAAGAAAACATCCATACTTTCAAGGAATGATTTGATTGTGCAACTGTTAACTATGTAACCATCTGGTTTCATCTGTGTAACCTTTGTTCTCCATCTTCCTTCTCCTAATTTGTTTGTCACAATCCCTTCTTGTATCTTAATTTAATTCAGACAGGCAGTTCCTAGGTTTTAGTGTCTCCTCCTCTGTGTTTGTCCAGTACATAATGCACTGGAGCCCTGTTCAGTTGAAGGCCTTTTCATACTATTACAATACAAATAAATAATTATAATATAGTCTACTTACCTTGTGATAGGGCAGCCAATACAGTCATTCTGCTTTGGTCCTGTGCACTTAGAACAGGATGCATCACAGAATAGACATTGACCCAGATGATCAGCATATTCCCCTGACAAACAGAAACCAATCACTTACTTAGGACAAACACATCAAATAAAGAACTATGTCTGGTATGTTGCTGATGTGAAAAGAATTAGACACTAAAAAATATTAGCAATTCTCATCAGTTCTCAGTTTGGTCATTAGTAGATGAGCCGCTTATCACCTTGGTGCTAGGATGCTAGGTCTCTCAGGAAGGTGAACCCAAATCTTCATGAGTCTAGCAGAAAGTGACTTCAGTGATTGCATTAACACAGCTTCAGAAGTAATGGAGTTCTACTGAGGTTCATATGGAGTGAAAGATTTATCCTTTTATTTATTAGGTACTAATTAAAACATGGTTACAGTGCTGCATTAGATATGCTTTCCATAATGTTCAGAGCAAATATTCATTTGGGAAATGGCAGCTATACAGAGGCAGTTTAAAACAGTGTAGAGGCAGTAAATCTATCCATTGAACACTTTTACAAAGTCTTAGACTAAGTAAGTGTGCCATATGTTGTTTTGTTAGTAGGTAATTTTATTCTAGTCGAGTATAGATGCTTGACTGAATTTACTGGCTGCTGCTTCATTCTTTAGCAACTGATTAAAACCAGAGAGGGAGTTCTGAAGCATGGACAGAACCTGTGAAATGATACCACTAGGGAGAGAACTCTTCTTTTTTGAATAGTTGCCTAGAAATTTAAATTTGGCATGTGCATGTGACTTTAAGACTGTCTTTTGGTGCAGCTGAGTTCTCTGCAGCTAGTGAAAACAGCTGCATGGCAGAGAGTGTTGTTAGGTGAAGGGACAAGAAGTAAAGCTTTCTGAAATACTGATATTATCTCTGTATTCTCTGTATCTCCTTCTCTTTCACTCCATACATAGCCATATGATCTTATTTTATATATCGTTGAAGTCACTGGGATGATGTTGTCCAAATATATAATGATATGGATTGCATGTAACAACCACCCTTGACTTAAATTAGCTGTAAGAAAGAGTAAAGCTCCACCTCAAATGTAGCAGGGGTTTAGGTTGTAGCCGTATTGGTCTAAGGACATAGGCAGACAAGGTTCCTTGGGTGAATTTGATATCTTTTATTAGACCAACCCAAATGGTTGGAGAATATTTATTAAGCAAGCTTTCGGGTTCAAGAACCCTTTGCCAGGCTAAGGAAGTTTCAGCAGTTGGGGTGTGCTCTTCTTGGGGTTCCCCAGCCAGCGCTGGAGGGTGGGGCAGCTGAATGCCCCACCATAGCCATTGCCAGCTGAAAAAACCCCAGACCAAACTCCCTCTACTCCTTTTCCCCCTTTTAATTCTGAAAACAGCAACAGGCAATAGCAACAGCAAGTTCTGCAGAGATGTTACAGAATAGGTTCTGTCTCAGAGTGTGTTCATCTGAACCCTCATGCAATGGGTTCAGATTTTTGCGGGATTAGGCCCTTTTAAAGTGGTCTCCTGCTCTGCACTCTGTTTTGTCATGGTTGTAGACCACTTTCAGGGACCAAATCAGGCAAAAATTGTCACTTCTAACATAGTCATGTCACTGGTTAAGACAGCCTTGGGCAAGATGTATGTAGCTGGAGGGGTTTCAATGGCTACAGTTTTGTGAAGGCTTGTGTATCAGTAAAAGAGAGGTCATAAAAACTGAAAGAGGAGTCAGAAAAGCTAGGGATATAGTCAAAAGAAGCAAATTGACTCTGGCCTTTGGAGATCTTAAGAAGGAGAACTTGGGGCTAAGTGCAGACTGGAAAGGAGCTTTGAACTGTGAACTCTGAGTAAGAAATTGTCTCTTGTTAGAGTCCTGCTCTAACAGGACTAAACAGGGAAGTTGGACATTGCATGTGCTTTGTAAATAAACAGGACTGCATCAAAGAAACGTCATCAACATGTCTTCTTCATGGAAACAGCCCCCACCACTCTAAATTTGGCCACCTGCTCCAGTAAAACAAGTGGTAACAAAAAATACAAAATCTCACAGAGATCAAGACACCCGGTTCATGGTGAACTGTGCAATTGAGATTAACAAACTGGATTCCTTTGAAATCATGTGTTATAAATATAGTGTTTCTGCTGGGAGGGACTTACACATAGTCTGGGAGCTGCAAACATTGTTAGCATGTTTTTTGGCCAGCTCTTAGTCCCTTCTTCTTCAGAAAATAGTGAGAAAACATGTAGAGGCTTTCTATTGCTTTAAAGCACATTTTATTTGCAAGTCTGAGAGAGAAATAAATGTTACATGTCAGTATATGTGTGAATATATAAATACAGACCCATGCAGACTATATTGAATATCAATACTTAAACCAGTGATTCCTAACCAGGGTGTTGCAAGATCCTTTTCAGGGTGCTGCAGAGTGCTGCACAATATTAGCACCATTAGGCATGCAAACACCTACAAAGGGTTAACAAGATAAACCCAGAGATTTCTAATAGGAATCCGTAGTGTCAAACATATTCTGTCCTGTTGTGGTCCTGTTGAGTTCTTTGCACCAGAAGGATTGCTTTATAATTTTTCTATAGTCCAGAAACAAGTAAAAGCTAAGAGCTGGATTTTTTTCAAGGGGTGCCTTTAGTCTAATAAGATTGAGAACCACTGATTTACACAGTGCTTTTCATCTAAAGATCTAAGAACATCAAGCAGATCTGTATGTAACTTTTTGCATCTCTCTGTACAATTGTTCTAGACTTGCATTAGATCTTGAGGCAGTGCAAAGTGTGATACTTCCACCGAAGTGAACCCAGCTGCATCTGTTGTTAATATGGAAAATGTTGGGGAGATTCTTTAATTGGGGCCATTCCACTTGGAGAACAAGGCAATAGAAGTGACCCAAATTGAGATATCAGTAGATGAGGTTTTAGAATAGAGTGATAAACTAAACAGTAACAAATTCCCAGGACCTGAAGATATGCACCCTTGAGCAGTGATTCCCAAGGTGTGCCAGAGTACACTGATGTGCCGCAAGAGTGGCAGAAGTGCATCACAAAAATGAGCCGGGTGGGGCTACAGTGAGGTTGACCCTGTATGGCTGGATCGGGTCATAGCTATGCTAGCCCTTTGTGGAGGGATTGGGCTCCAGGTAGGCTAGCCCAACATGGCTGGATCAGGATCAAACAAAGCTAGCCATGCAGAGGAATTGCGCTTTGGCTGGGCCAGCTCTGTGCACAGGATCAGGCCTGCAGACCAGATCTGGCCTCCAAGGAGCAAAGGGTGCCTGCAAGTTTAATCCAGAAAACAAGGTGTGCCCCAGGTATCAAAAGACTGGAAAATGCTATCCTTAAGTCTTGTAAGAGCTCATATTTAAAACTGCTGCACTAACTGTGATATGCAACGTGTCACTCAAAACCATTTTGGTATCGGAGGATTGGAGGATTGCCAAAGTAACTCCAGTCTTTAAAAAGTGCTTCAGAAAGGACCCAGGGAACCATGAACTGGTGAGTCCAAATTCTGTTCCTGCAATTTGGTATAACCAATAACTTAAAAATGATTGAACAGCACATGGATGAACAAAATTTGCTTTTCTTTAGGGAGGTCCTGCCTCACCAACATCATCAACTTCTTTGAAGGTGTTAACAAGAATGTAGATAGGGCTGTTTAAATGGTGGCCTGTGGACCACATTCAGCCTGCAAAGGGTTGAGGGTGCCAGGGTCCTGCCTGGCTGCTGTTCCCCACCATCTTTCCAGCTGCAACAGCAGCCATAGTTCCTGGGCTACCCCTCTCTTCACTGGCTTCTGCTTCCCACCTGGGCCCCAGGGGCTGAGCAGAATGGAGAGGTGCAGGGAGGGGAGTGGAGGGTGGACTGGGGCTTCATGGTATAGTGGTGTTGGGGGGTGGTCATACAGTGCAGTGGTGGGGAAGGGGGATGTCTGGGCAGACGCACATTGCAGTAATGTGGGAATGCAGATGTGAGGTGAAGCTGGGGGTGGGGAAGAAGTGTCTGTGTGGTGTGTATCCTGAGGGACCCATGGCTTGCCCTGATGCAGACCACACAATGTGTGGCCTCTGCTAAAATGACCTGTAGGGCATGCAGTCCCCAACCACTTAGCAGCTGAACAGACCTTATACTTATCTTCAAAAAAGCCTTTGTCAAAGTCCCACATCAGTCTCTTAATGAAACTGGTTGTCATGGGATCAGAGGGAAGGTCTACTTGTGGATCCAAAATTGGTTTAAGGATGGAAAATGAAGAGTGAGTATAAATGTTCAGTTTTTAGAATGGAAAGAAGAAAACAGTGCCTCTTCCCCAACCTCCCAGAATCTGTGTTGGGACTGGTGCTCTTTAATGTATTATACATGATCTGGAGAGGAGGGTGAATGGTGAGTGACCAAGGTTGCAGGTGACAATTACTTAGCGTGGAAGAGACGAAAAAGGACTGTGAAGAACTACAGAAGGATCTTGCAAAATTGAGTGAACAGACAACAAAATGGCAGATAAAATTCAACGTTGATAAGTGCAATGTGATGCACATGGGAAAAAATAACCCAAAATGTACATACAAGATGATGGTCTCTATACTTGCTTGCCACACAGGAAAGAGATCTTCAAGTCCTTATGGACAGTTTACTAAAACATCAGCTGAGTGTTTAGCAGCAATCAAAACGGTAAACAAAATGTTGAGAAGAAAATTGTAAACAAAACAAAAAATGTCATTATACTGCTTTATAAATCTATGGTGCAGGTCCACCTTGAGTGCTGTGTGCAGTTTTGGTATTTAAAAAAGGATATGGAAGGACCAGAAAAGGTAATGAGGAAGGCAACAAGGATGGTCAGAGGTATATTCACTTCCCCCTCAGCATCCACTCTCTGCCTTTTGGAGACAGAAATGAGACAGATGGACCTATGATCTTATTCAGTAAATAGCATTTCTTATGTTCTTATGAGTTTTGCTGAATAACACACATTGTATATTATCAGATAAATGACATCGTAAGTGATGATACAGATGTGATTATGTTGCAGGACCATTTGATATAGGACTTTGTAGTCTTCTGGGCTAGGTACAGACAAGCAAAAAGCCCAAGTTTGAA